GGTCTCAAAGTGCGGTTACTGCTTAAACGCTCGGTATGTTGCTCACTTTTATATTGATCTGTGCAGTTATGTTACATGGGAATTAAGATGACAGAGAAAAAGGTTTCATGTACTATTAGACTATCTTCTCTGTGGCTGACCAAAATTTTCAGTTAGACCTGTTTTGATTCTGCTGTTTCTATGGCCAACTAAACTTTCATGGGTATATAGTAAATTGCTTGAAACATTTTAAAAAGCCTTCGCCCTCCCATTCAAAGGGGCTATATTAGAGAAGCAGCTTTGTTCAGCTTCACACAGTCTTGTGTTGGGAACAAGGTCAACTGAATTTTGCAAGACATAATTGGTAACGATTGAAACTAAACTTTTCTTTTTTCTTTTCAATTTCAAGCATTTTTCTTCCTTCCTTTTGTAATCAAATTTCAAGTTAAAGATTATTTGTTAAGATTCTAAAAGCTGAGATGAATCATTGTTGCAAATATTCACATGTTACAGACAGTTCTAATCAGAATGTATTTGGTCCCCTTAGCTTAATTTCTTGTAAAGATTATCTTCTTATCATTGCATCCTCCTCAAGCACCACATATAGCAGCAGTAATTCCACATGCAGCCAATACAAAACTCTACAAAACTCTGGAGGTTTTTTCATGATAGTTCTCTCTCAACAAGTGAAACATACTCTGCTTATTCTTGGATCTACCGATTTTTGCATGTTGAACTTAGCCCAAAGCTGCTCAGGCACGTGATAAAAAAGCTGGTCACGAGGGTGAGTACAGCTTCAAGGACGAAGATGGATTTGGACCAGAGCACATACAGCAACATGAGAAATGTTTGGATGATTTTGTGCAACCACCAAATGAGCCTATGGTAAGTGAATTTTTGGACTCTCTGCAATTGCTTTGACATCAGCAATATTGATCATGTGATTTTACGTCCCTCTCTTGCAGTGGGAGGAACATGGCAACAACAAGGAAGGTGGACTGAGAAAAAGCAGAAGTCGTGAGTTTCGCGAAGTTAATGAAAATCGTGGTTGGGGAAAGGGACGTGGACGCCCTGCATATAATTCCAACAATCGTGGAAATCATCCAGGGGTAGCTTCAAATGTTCCCTTGAATATTGAGCAGCCAACTGCGGCAAAGCAGCCTCCAGTGCCACGGATGCCAGATGGAACAAAGGGGTTCTCCATGGGTCGTGGAAAGCCAGTTGCTGTCAGAATCGTTTGAGGTAATTTGCATTCTAAGCTCACGGAAACTGGCGGTTCTTTTGCCCCCATCCCCCTCCCCCTCCCCCAGTGTGTGCAAGTTAGGAGTTGCATAGGTCCTGGTTTCTGCGGTCCTGACGGCTATATCTACAGACTTACTCTAAGGACGTTGAGTTGACACAAGGTCAGTCTGGGAGTTAACGGCAATAGTTCAGCTCTTTTTCGGCAGCATTCGTAGGAAGAAAGGAGCAGATGCGGTTTTCTTAGTCGCTGCCTTTTTCTTTCTTTCTTTTTTTTTTTTTTTTCCTTTTTCTTTCTCCTCGGGGATAATTCAGTGTAAAAATGAAAAGAAAAAAAAAAAACCTTGGGGATTACCCTATACCCTAAAAGCAGAAAGGTAAATAGATAAGTATTCTGTAGCTTAATAGATCTCCCTCTCCCTCCCACATGCGTTGTGGTAAATGTCAATTTCTAATAGCTATTAAAGATTGGAGAAAAAAGGGTCGTTTGATTAATAGATTCCCATGAGGCCTGAGTGTTAAGGATGAAAAACTATGCAAGATAAAAAAGCAAACAAGCAGGCTATACAAGGCGAACATAGGAGATGATGTGATCATTCATGATCATGCTAACCCAACAATGGTGAAAAATGCTTTAGTAATGATAGTTATGGTTGCGAAATAGTTTTTACCTACTAATATAACATGTTGTTGTATTTTTAGCGATCATTTAATTTCTTGTTGGATCTATCCATCTAAATAGAATAACATCTAAAAATATGAAAGTAAATTTTTCATATAAAATGTAAGTTAATCTTAATAGATTAGTAATTTTTACACCTCAAAAGGTAAATTGGAATAAAGATTAAATTTACTTGTTAAATAAATAAATTATTATTTTATATTTCAAACTTATTTTTTAGAGAGTAAGTTTAGTTCAAGTAAGAGTAAGTTTTTATACATAAATGTTAATGATTAAAACTTACTAATTTTTGGAACACATGTACAATTTTACATTAAAAACTTATCTCAAACTAGTATTAGGAAGTTTATTTGAAATAATGATAAGATGTTTTATTAATGATTAAAACTTAGTACCTTAGTTAGTAAGTACTCGTAATACATCTATATAATAAATGATTATAGGTATAATTTAAATTTTTTTTTGTATTTATATATTTTAAAATACTATGAAAGGTAGTTTCACTTTTCAGATAACCTTGTAAAATATGTAATAAAATTTTGTCATATTATAAGTTTTTAATCATTTTTAATTTTTGAAAAGTTTGAAAATTTGGATAACAATAACAACAAATCTTCCTAGTTATATATGGAATGTCACTTGTTTATAGATCACAATTTTTTATAATTTAACACCTATGAATATAATAAGATGATAAAATTTTAATAAATTTACATTTGGGATACAAGAATTAATAAGAGTTAAAGCCCAAACAAAATTAGAAATGGTATGACAATAAAAATGACAAAATTAGTATAACAGTTAATATAAGAAAATTAGTATGATTTGGACTTTATTTTTCTTGGGAGATTGTTCATAGAAATAAGATCCAACAATTAAATGAAAATCACTTGCACATATAATCTATTGTTTAATTTAAATTAAATTTAGTTCATGTATAAAATGGTCCAAACATAATTAGCGCACTACGATACATATGATGGATATTTTACCATATTTGTATCTAATTGTAAGCACAAATTTTGTTGCCGAAAATAAAAGATATGAAAACTTGCACAGAAATCAAATTTATTAAATCAAATAATAAGAGAGTCACAATCTCTAAAAATTCTTTTTTCTTTTGATAATTACAATATCTAAAGATTATTGAATCAAAGAAATTGATCCCCTAATTTTTCTCTTCAAAAGCACTCCTAACTAAAGTATAATAAAATCAATTTTTTTAACTTTTTAATGTAGTAGTTATGTTTACTAGAAAATTAGTAAACCATTCTTACAATGCATTGCTTCTCCTAAAAGTACTAATATTTTGTAAATAAATTGAAATAATTTTGTAAAAGATTTTATGCATATTTACTAATATAATCAAGAGAATTTTGCACCTTTAAAATATAAATAGAAAGAAAGGAAAGTGGTATGAGTATAAAGGTGACCAAATGCAATATATATCACACCATGTGTTTAGATATGATTTGTTAAGTAATCAGTAATTTAGTCCTTGTCAATATATGATGCATATTGATTTCTTATAAATAAAATTATAGTTTAGCAATTATGCATATAACAGAATTCGTAGTTTGAATGCAATCAATTGAGCACCTATTTCCTTTTTTTAAGTAGCTATTATTTATTTTATTACTTAGGTTATATATTTACATGTAAAATAACAATAATAGTATGCTAATCCTCGGACAAATAGAACTTCAATTATTGTTAACTACACTAATTTTACATTGATAAAAATTAGTCTAGAAAATGAAATGTTAATGGCAACAATTGGTAAAAAAATAGCAATCTTTTAATTTTGGGAAAATAAAAATAAATTCCCAAAATATTACACTTTTATTTTTTTTTTTTAAAATCTCAACTTGTTAATTAAATTCAAAATGATTTTATTATAAAAAATATTCTTCCTCAAATTAACATCAATGATTAGACATGAGATACAAATATGGAAAAAAAGGAGATAAAAATGTAGTAAATATCTCTTATACATATATCATGGATATTGGAGACTTTTGGCAAAAAAATTTTTGTTGTTAAAATAATATGGTATTGTAGTGTGCTAATTATTTTAGGATGATTTTGTACATGAACTAAATTTAATTTAAATTATACAATAGATTATATATGCATGTGATTTTTGTTTAGTGGTTGGATCTTATATTCGTGAACAATCTCCAAAGAAAAAAAATTCCAGATTATACTAATTTTGTTATCCTAATTCTGTTATTTTTATTGTTGTATTAATTGTTACACTATTTCTCTCATTTGTTAGGTCTATATTAATACAAGTTTAATTCTTATTATTTCTTGTGTCCCAAACAATAAATATATTAAAACTTTATCATCTTATTATATTAATAGGTTTTAAATTATAGAAATTACATAGATAAGTGATATTCCATATATAACTAGGAAGATGTGTTGTTATTATTATCCAAACTTTTAAACTTTTCAAAAAATATTCAAAATTATAATACGACAAAATTTTATTATTTTATAAGGTTATGTGAAAGGTCAAAATATTTTTCATAGTATTTTAAAATATATAAATACAATTTTTTTTAAATTATACATATAATCATATATTATACAAGTATATTACAAGTACTTACTAACTAAGGTACTAAGTTTTAATCATTAACAAAACATTTTATTGTTATTTCAAATAAACTTCCTGTACATTTGTTAGCAAAATAGTACATTTGTGCTATAAATTAGTAAGTTTTGATCATTAACCAAATTTACTATGTTATAAGTAAGAATTACTATTTATGTATAAAAATTTACTATTACTTGAACTAAACTTACTCTCTCAAAAGTATGTTTGGGATATAAAATAGTAATTTATCTCATTAAAAAGTAAATTTCATATTTATTCCAGTTTACCTTTTGAGACACAAAAGTTACTAATTATTACGATTAACTTACTATTTTAGATGAAAAACTTACTTCCTTATTTTTAGGCATTATCTTATTTAGGTGGCTAGGCCCAACAGGAAATCAAATGATCACTAAAAGTATAATAGCCTATTATATCAGGTAAAAACTGTTTAGTTACCATAACGATAATCACTACAGCATTTTCCAACAATAATAATGCGAACAACTAAATATGATCAGATTCATAAAATAGGTCAAAGTTTTCAAGAAGAAGTGACATTGGTTTAAATGAAAGAAAAATCTGCTTCTCCTCTGTATTGATCGGAGACATAAGAACTGGGGAAATTCCGATGATTTACAACTAATACGTTAACAATCATCTCTGGCGTGCCCTACAAGGCCGCTTCCTTTTGATCCAATCACATGGTTTATCTTGAAGAAGCACTAAGAGCATCAATTACCAGCAGGAAGACACTTCTTCTTCCCATTTGGTAGGGAAAGAGAACAGGAACAATTAAAATCTGTCTAGATGGATCATGATTTAATCTTCTTCCCATTTGGTAGGGAAAGAGAACAGGCACAATTAAAATCAGTGTAGATGGATCAAGAATTAGTCAGCCGTTCCATGACCAGGTTGATGACTGCAGGAGCATCAACAGTGACTGCCACCTTGACTGAGGGTTTATCTGACCATTCTGTAACTTCACCAAACCTGTTTCATCACAAAATGGTAGAGCTAATGCTATCAATGAGATATTCAAAAGAAGCTAGATAAGACATTGTCCATTATAGGATGAGCAATCACACAGTTGCTCCTAAGGAGACAGTGGTACCAATTTTAATAATGAAACTATCATGGAAGAGCAATAATGATCGCTCCAGATGGTATTTTGGATGCATGCCATAAATCTAGTATAAATGGTATTTTCCTAGTAGTAGTTTAGAATGAAAGTATGGAAGAGCAATGAAGATCATCGCAGATGGTTGTTTTGGATGTACCTCTTTAATCTAATGCTAGAAATGGTTCTTTTGATAACCTGAGCTAATGTTCAATCTTTAGAAAGTTGCTACTTCCAGTGCATGTTCAATCTAAAGCTATAATGACTTGCTCATAAAATAAAAGAAATGAAAATTTGTGAGACAGATTGAAACACATTCCCATGATTGATCACTACAAGTGGTTAGCTTGCAAAGTTTCCTGTTGTAAGTTCCATGTGCAAACAGATCACTCAAAACCATATTGAGCTAATCTTTAAATGATATAGCCAACATAAAATACTTATCAGCATATTTTGAAAACTCAACCAACAGGCATCAAACGCACACAAACAACTCATGATGCAGCTCCTCTCCATCATAAAATACTTGGCCTTCAGGAGATTTTCTCAGACAAATTGAGGCAAAAAACATGGGATGCTTAGACCCTATTCAAGTTTCACCACATCCGCATCCATGCTAAAGTATAGAACCATAGTGAATATCGAATACAGAGCATGCTGTCTCAATTCCAGTGTTTGAGAAAATGTTCATGCAATGAGCCGATGCCTAAAGCATATAGTCGGATGAATGCATTTCAATGTTTATGAGTATGCACAGATCATTAAGGAGACTTTTAATGCAACAAGGGTAAAAGGTTAAACAGAATAATATCCTTAATTTCCGGAGTTGAAAAGGATAAATCTTCAGCTTCCCTTTCTTGAAAAATTGACACTTCTACCCCTAAATGCTTCAAACACTATTGCTCCCATGACTGACAGTTGCATATATTTCCAATAATTATTCTTCCAATTAGTTGTCCACAAAATATTTTAGTTATTTTTTGTGTAATTAACTAGATAATGTTTATTTTTCCAAATTACATCCAATTTCAGAATTGAGGAGGATATTCCTTACTTCTAACATCTTGCGGTTGAATTAACCTTTCAAAGTATTGCTGGTAATGGAATTTTCTTCCACCTGCAACCGTTCCTGAAGGTTATGTGCATTTTGCATACGGTGTAATTCTGTTTATACATTGTGTAATTTACTTTCAACAATGTGTAATTTTAGAACAAAATTTTGTGGGTCCCACATATGTTAAAAACGAGGTACAAGATGAGATTTGTACCGTACAATTTTTTTTGGCCAAACCTTGGCCGTGAACTGCTTAGGGACAGTCTGCCTGATAACCGTCCCTACCCCAGATCCTACTGTTAAGATGGGCCAAGCACATTTCTGACTCCTGAATCGATCCAAAGGCAAGTTTTGTTTCTGTTCAAATGTCTTTTCATTATTCCTGATTCCACTTTCGGTAAACAGTGCACAGTTATCTTAGACATGTTTCTGGAAAACTTTGCTCCTTCATGTTAATTACTTGGGTGGATCTAGCAATATTCCCAGAAACTCACATATCTTCCAAAAGGCAACAAAGTAGATATGTAGCAATGGTTTATAACCTAATTTTGTATGTGTACCTCTGTCATTGTCATAAGGTTACATAAATAAATAAGATTGCCAAAGGAAAATTTCAAATGAATCAGAGTACTCAGTATCTCAAGGAAATGATATATTGAAGTGTATTTTTTACCTTTTCTGTTTGTTATAAAATAGAGTTAGACCCCGTGTAATGCCAGTAGTCTGTACACGGACCACACCTTCTGTGAAGGTGATTAGTGAAGGAGTGACAGCAGCTAGAAGGGCAGTTGGGTCATGAAGGTAAACACCTGCATCATATCCAAATATTGAGTGTAATAGCTGAAAGAACAGGAGAGTATCATCTCTTTATTTCCAACCAAACCTTTGGTGCTGTAAGCAACATGATGATATGAATAGTACACATCCAAGATCTTGCACAAGTATTGAGCATACTTTCCATTGGACTCTGCCAACTTATCTCGATCAGCATCTACAAAGGGGAAAAAGAAAAAAAAAGAGCAAAGTCCCAGTGATGCAACTGTAGAAGGTAATGTCTTGTTACAAGATAATCAACAAATTTTCTTCAGCTGTAATAGTTGTATGCCTTATGCCATGTTTCCAAATGAAAAGAACATATGTCCTATGATGCAACTCAAACTGATCTACGACTCTGACTTGTCCCAAAAGAGCGGAGGGAATAACCTGGATATCCAGTGCAGCACAACCTGCCTAACAAACTCCCCAAAATTAATTCCGCAAGACAGAAAACAGAAAAGAATACCAGTGAAAAAAACTTGATGCGTGACATTGATTCCAACAGCCAGGACATCAGCTCCACTGGTAAAAACAACATCCGCTGCATCTGGATCTCCAAAAATCTAGTTCCCCAAGAAAATGTGAGAAACATTTCAACCAAAATCAAGGTGTGGGTTGCATATACAAAACAGGACATATAAACTGTAGCAACTCACGTTTGCTTCAGCTGCTGGATTGACGTTCCCATTTACTGCAAAAGCGCCGCCAAGAACAACAATCTGTTGTATGTTTTTGACAAAATGGGGATCTGATTGGATAGCCTGTATCAAAAATCATTCTACTTAAAAACTTTCCATTGAAATGTTGAGCAATTCATCTGATACATTGAGCAAACAGACCAAAGCAATATTCGTAAGAGGCCCCAACGCAACCACAGTGACCTTGCCAGGATAACAACTCGCTTGTTGGATGAGAAAATCAGCAGCGGACAGTTCAATTGGCTTTCCTTTTGGTGGAGGAAAATTTTGATTTCCAAGCCCATCCGTACCATGTACAAAATCAGCTATTCGGAGTTTTGTCCCTTTCTTCAAATGAAAGAAAATGAATTTGTTGAATATGCAACAAAAAAAACTCAATTTGATACTTATGCTTGTGGTATCATGAATGCCTAACATTGATTAAAGCTCTTCTGAGGCTCAAAACTGTAATCAGACGTGGCAGATAAATGATCTTTTGCATGAAAATTTTCTACAGTGGCCTGGAAAGGAGGGAACATAAGCCAGAGAATCTAGACTTTCTGCCATTGTCTGTTATAGTTTAGACAGCATACAGACAAAAATTTTACTTGCATTGACTTCCCACAAAACCCTACTCAAAAAGGAGAGGAAAAAAGAGTTCAGATACCCAGGTTTGAAGAGTTATTCAAGTTTATTTGGAGGACCCGCTTATGGAGTTGAAAAGTTGTATCGAAAACTCACACCTATCTGAGTCGATGGGAGACCTTAATCGTTGAACTGATTGTGGGAAACGTGCCATTCCCATAAGCTTTGAAAAAACTTGATTGTTGGGTTGACAGGAATGACCAATCTCCAGAGGTTTCCCCAGGAAGCAGGAGCAATGAAAGCCAAAAGGGAGACAACAACACAAAAAAAAAAAAACATTTTGCAGCAAATTATCTGAAACATGAACCAAAATTGCAATTTGATTTACGGTTCATTGGCTTTTGTACCTAGCAAGGAGGAAAATTATGCTCTTCTTTGATAATCCCTTGACAAGAATCTAATTGAATGTTAATTCAGTTGAGCACGCAGAAGTTTACAGAAGATAAGCACGCCTCAATTAAGCTCTGAGAGCTTGCATGTCAAGCCTCAGTTAAGCTGGAAGAGATGTAGCAATACATACAGTGATTGTGACATGGGATCCTTCAGCAACTGGAATATCCGTCCTTCCCGCAATCTCTAACTGAATCATGACATGAACTAAAACGTGAATTTTGCCAGAAATGATAGTCACAATGAACTCTGCCTGCCACCGCCTCCCCCCAGCCCTTCTTCCCTCACCCCACAAAAGAATACATGAAGAAAAAGAAAAAAAAAAGTGAAAACACAAACGGGAAAAAGACATTCTTTTATCAGGAAAAACGAATCATATGATCCAAAAGCAAGGTGAAACAACCTATTAAATGTCAAAAATGAGATTCTTGAACCAGGTTGATGTAAATTAGAAATCAAGTGATAAAGCTTCCATACTCCAGCGACAATTAAGCATACTTAGAGCTTATGAGAGCTAAGAAAAAAAAATGATGTTTGACGTGAAAACAGAGAAGGGATGAGATGGGGTACTGTAATTACCAAATGCAAAGCATTTCTGGTGGCAAGGGTGGTATAAACGTTGCCGTAGATGGTGGTGAGTCCAATGACCTCCACTTCCGGTGATTGCAGCGCCAAAAATATTGCCATGGCATCATCTGACAATCAAACAAATTAATTCAATTCAAGAAAAACAAGATTCAAAGTCCAGCATACTAGTGGCAGAAGAAACAAGGACTCCTAGTCCGATCTGTGACGGTGAAAATTTATTACCAACCCCAGGATCAGTATCTATGATGATCTTCTTGGGTTCTTCTAGCATGGTGGGCTGTACTCAGGTGATGAAAATTTCCGGATTCTTTAGTTGGATTAGATGAAGAAGAAGAAATGCGCTTGGTAGAACTGCCTGTGATTGATTACTTATTGGGTGACTTGCTGATTAGGTATTGGTTAATGCACATTATTATATGATTCGATGATGATTATGGGATGCTTTGTTCCGAGGAAATTGCAACTTTAGACCCTTAAAGTTGGAGAGTTTTACTCGAGCTAGCCGACTCACGAGCTAACGAGTTTGATATTTTGACTTCAAGTTCGAACTCGACTTTAACTCGATCAACTTGAGCTCGAATCGAGCGGCTCGATTCGTTTGCACACTTCAAGAAATGCATTTCTAAGTGCAGGTATGGTATGTAACATTCTCTAACCATTTGCCTTTTTAGGATTTATAGATCCAAAATAGCTGGCCAAATAACTCTACATTTTATATGGGGTTAAATGCACTGAATCTTCCTCAACTTTGCTTCTACTTGCAGTTTATGATCTTTTTAACTCGTTAAAAAAAAAAATAATAACAAGACTATCCTTAAAAACAAAACAAAAAAAAAAACTTTTTTTAAGCTTTAAATACATATTGATGCAACCTAAACTAAAATATTAGGCCTATTATGGGAGCATTTACAATTGCTCAAATATAATTTCAGATCAAAACAAAATAATAGAAAAGTTTTAGGTCAATGTATAAATCAATCGTTTAATTGTTTCCTAGTCTTTTGAGTTCAGGCTTGAGACTCAAAAAAGCTTTACAATCTGTGCATTTTAACACAGTGGAACTGGATAAGTCCATTCCATATTTTAATTTCTGCTGAGAGCTTGAGCACTAATTATGTAGTTAAGATCCCTTTTTTCCATTCCTATTAGTTAAGCAAATACTCAGCACTTGTATGTTCTCAAGCAAGCAACGTAGCCCCCCGATTGTTCTTGTCCACATTCCCTTGCAGTTGATTATTCGAGCAAGCAACGTAGCAGCCGCCCAATTGTTCTTGTCCACAATTCCCTTGCAGTTGATTATTCGAAGGCTCTTTGCTGGTTGTTTCAACTGTAATTGCAGTCCATCATTGCGTTGATTAATGCATAACGTATGGCTCCAGCTTCCTGTTGGATGTTGCAGCCTGTCATCTTTTCCCTTAGTAGCATCCTCTTTCGTCCTTGGCGGCTATACCATAGACTACAGTGCGTGTCCGTCTCTTTTTGGCTTGTGACTGCAATTCTTAGTACTCTGCACCTTGTTCCTCCCTCTATTGGATGTTTGCTGCCTTTTTGACTTGATCTGTTGCTCTATTCATAGTACTTCTGATGCTGACTGGCTTATCCATATCTTCAAACTGCAGCCATTCATTGCTGGCCTTACCGATGATTCCCGCAGCTTTCTTTACTTGCCAGATGTCCCACAGGATAGGTACTGTGAGTGCAATGTGGCCCATCCCTTGCTGCCTGACCCATTTCTTGAAGTTGCCGGATAATCTTGTGCCGGCCCATTTTTTTTTTTAAAAAATAACTTTATAATTTATAGAATCGAATCTAAGGCACCCGTTGTGAGATTTAGTCAAAAAATTCTCTTAATCTAACCTGTAAAACTTATCGCATTTGAATGTTTCTACATGGATGCAAATCTAGACCTAATGGATATCGAGATGATCGAAGTATCTTTCCAAAGTTTAATTGATGCAAATCACATTAATTGTGATGCCCAAAAATGATTTTTCGAAGAGATCGCGAATATGCAAAAATGAGACTCGGAGAAAATAAGAATTATAATATATAAATATACGTGACCTAAAGGAGAGGAATGCAATATAACCGGTGCAGGGGACTAATATTCGTTACTCAATTTTCCCTTTTATAGAGGAGGATGAGAACGTGTTAAGGCTAAGAAGTCACACTCGTCCATTTTCCATTTTTGAAAGGTGACTTTCTTAGTCTAGTCAGGCGAATGGACTAGCCTACCTCAAATTTTCTAAATGAAATGCAAGTCTAAATGTCATATTTCACACATATAAGGATATGGGAGGTAATATATAGGAAATATCATGCAAGATGAGAAAATGTCCTAAAAATGAAAAATGGGTATGAAATGCGATGAATGCCACACGTAAAAAATATAAAATGAGTCATAGTTAAATTTAGTTAGACCCAAACCCTTATAAGTTTAGAGCCAGACCCTCATGGATCTTAGTATTGAATGAGTATTCATTGTACTTTTCTAAACATATTAAAGTACAAATATATAGTGTTACAAAATAATATGAACACCATCTAATTTTTATCTCCAAATAATCAAAGTAATATTTAAGAAATTGAATGCAATATTATGAACTAAAAAAAGAATTATTATTGACCACTACTATTTATTTTCAAAGTTTAACTATATCCATGTCTTCATTTATTTGCCTTTGCTTTTCTGTCATTTTCCTAAAAAATTTGTACCAGATATAATGACAACTAGAATTAGTTTGAAAAAAGAAAATAATCATGAAGTCTTAATGTGTTTGATCCAATGGTCACCGACTATTAGATTATTTTATAAATTTACTAATATATATACATATATGTATGTATATGTGTATACTATTTAATTATATATACATGGGTCTAGGTAGGATTTGACTTTAAGTATGGATCATAGAAAATCAAACTCTATCCGGATCCATGACTTTCTTACAGGGTTTGGATTTAATAAATTAATTCCAAACCTTACCCAAAAATATTAGATTTAAATAAGACCTGACCCATTGACATGTTTATTTGGATGGAAAGGGGGCAATGACTTAGGTGTTAGCTGTTGCCATAGAGAAGTTTGTGAAGGTAAAACCTTGTATTAATTGTCAGGTTCATCCTAGGTACGGTGGTGAAGCGATTAATTTTTTCACTTTAAATTTTTAAACTTTTTTTTTCATGATTTTGACCCTCAAACGTTACCAAAAAAAAAATGTTATCATGCTATTCCAATTTTTTCCAAATAATCCCCTATCCAGATATTCTTAAATAAATAATATTTAAAAAAATCACTGAAACAACCAAAAAAACCTAACATAAGCAGACAAAATGACATCAAAGCCCACCTCACCTCCTCAACAATGGCAATATAGCTAATCCATCACCTCCGCAAAACCTAGACAACACAAGGAACAACCTAAGCACAAAACAAAAATTGTTTTACCAAAGAAGGGATCAAACTAAGAACAATCACATTGAAACCATCTAAAAACTCATGGTTCATTATCTTTATAATAGTGTTGATGATGATATACTTGCATAACCTGCAACTAAATTAGGGTTTAAAAATTGAAGAAAGCAAAAAAGAAAAAGCTGAAGCGTGATTTTGTGGGAGGAAAAAGAGGGATAAGATGAATAGAAAGAAGGAAGAGAAAGAGGGAGAAAAGAGGGGGAGAGAGAGAGAGAGAGAAGGAAAATGAGGGGGAGAGAAAGGAAGGAAAGAGGAGGAGGGAGGAGAGGGATGGTGGTGGTGGAAGAGAAAGAGTAAGAATATTGTTTTTAATTTTTTTTTGTGTTTTTGTGTATTTGAAGAGTTATTGGGGTGTTTTTGAAATTTGTTATTGTTGATTCTGAAAATAAAAACTTGTATTTCAAATACTGAGTATTCCAAGTAGAGTTGATATTTTTTCAATTTTACAGTCCAAAGTTATGTGTTATTTTACATGGGGATATAAATGAGTCTAAACAAGTTAAATATTTTAGCGTACGACTTTGTTTGATTATTCTAAGGAGTTCGAAATTTTGTTCAAATTTAGTTTATTTATTTCTCGAGTTTAATTCAAACGAGTTTTTATTGAGGCGAATTCGAGTAATTTAAACTTTTATATGTAACTTTTATTTATATACTAATTGAGCCAAGCTTAAGTGAAATTAAATAATTTATCTAACACAAATTGCTATTCAAACTTAATCTGATTAGCTGACGAGTCAAATTTTAACGAACTCTTACGGAGTTGAGATCGATCCGAGTATCATATAGTTTAGGCTCATTCTTCAGCGCTAAATTTAAAGGATTAAATCAAGAGGCTTTCATGCTAGGGATCAAATTTAGGCTTTTGACTAATTCTCAATCCTGTCATACGGGCCCTCACATTTTGTTGCTGTACGGTGGCAGTACATTGGGCACCCCATTTTTTTTTTTTTTTTGGCCTATTCAATGCCACATATAAATTTGTGTTTGTCACTCTGTCGTGCTGTCTAATTCTATGCCATTTATATATTTCCTTGATAATTATATATATATATATATATATATATATATATATATATATCCAAGTTCATTCATGTAAGTATATTTATAGTTTTAAGAGTATCCTTTTCAGTTGAGTTTACAAGTACCCAATAGACCAATACACTTGACAAATTAGTCCAAATTGCAATGCTTAAACAAAAAAAAAAAGTCATCCTTTATACCAAAAAAAGTAGTAGGTACTTTTAAGAATAGAAAAGAAAAAGAAGGGCATGACCAAATAACCATCATGTGAATGTGATGATTCTACATTAATCATACTATTGAAAAAGAAAAAAGAAGATTGAAACCATGCATGTGAAAGATTGACCAGAAAAAGTTTAAGTTAAAAAAAAGCCAGCCAGTGAAAGAACAGGAGGACAGTCAAAGATTCAAAGCTAAGCTTGGCAGCTAGCTTTGCTAAACAGAAAGAGAATAGGATTCCAATTCCATCCTCATCATCAAGCAATTGACATTTAACCATCAGCCTAAGGCTGATGTAGGGCTGCAAACGAGCCGAATCGAGTCGAGTTTTGAGGTAATCGAGCCGAGTCTCGACTAAATTTTACCAAACTCGAGCTCGAGCTCGAGCTCGACGAGCCAAAAATTTTCGAGCTCGAGCTCGACTCGAATCAAGTCGAGCCGAGCTCGAACTCGAAAAAAAATAAAAAATAAAAATTTTATTTTTAAAAAAATAAATAAAATAATATTTTTTTCTTAATAAATAATAAAATATTAAGGATATATACGTAATTTTACTATGAAAATAAAAAAATAAAAAAATATATATAATATGTGTAATTTTATTATTAAATAAAAATAAAAATAAAAAATATATATATATACTCAAGTTCGCGAGTCGGCTCGCGAGCTAACGAGCTTAATATTCTGAGTTCGAGTTCGAGCTCGAGCTCAA